ATGAGGCGCATGGAAGCACAAAATAACTTTCCTCCTTGAGGCAGAAAGGGGAGTGCAGTGGCTGTCTTTCTCCTGAGTGAAGAAAATGAGTTTCCTTCTGGCAAAAAAGATTTTAATATTTTAAAAGTATGAGGTCATCAATCAGTCAATTATATTGATTGTGTATTACACTTAAGTGTTCTAAAGGAACCATAACTCTGATTCTTTGTGTATTCTTTTTTTGTTTGCTTGTTTTGATTTGGGAATTTACAGTTTATGATCTGTTTTCATACACACGGGCATATAGATAAGCTCTCTATATGTGCAGAACTGAACAAAATAAATCTAGTCATTCCACAAAGCAGCCTGGAGCAATGAGAAACCTCAGTTCTATAATAATGATAAAAAGAAAAACACATCAAATAACACAGATACTACAGAAAAGGAATACCCTGCTGATGTCCACAATGCTCTGATTGCAACAGCGAAGAAGCACATTACGCAAACAAATTAGACAGTGCCATGTAGTCACAAGTTTGTAACTTCCTATCCTGTAAAAGGTCTTTGCGCCCATCCACAAAGGGGCCTTTTATATTTTTTTCGTAGCAGTTGAAAAATATACAGAATTTTGCTGGTATCTGGAATAAAATGTAATGATTTTTTTTTTTTTTTTTAGTCTCCAGTTCCAAGTAAATCTTAGCTTTTTGTTCTTAGCTTTTTGTTCTAATGAGCTGTTTCTTGCAAAATTGTGATTTTTTTTTTTACTCTTACTGATCCTCCTGAAAAAAGCACTTGAGGTTCTGCTTGATATAGACAAAGGATCTTAGGATACTGAAGCTTTCTGGTTCTTCAGTTCATTCATTGCATGTTTTTATTGTTGTTTTCATGAGCATTTGAGGATTTAAATACCTCAGTGTATTAGAACATGTTATTGTCATTAAAGAATTGATTTTTTACTTCCCAGATCTTCATGAGCCAAACTATTGTGTGCAATAGATGGAGAATCTTCTGATACATTTACTAAAATAATGTATCAGAATAATGGTATTTGGCATTGTGTGTGGTGGCCATGCTCTGTGGCTAAACATATCCTTTTTAAGTGCTGCTTATGGAGCGGATTGTCTTGAGGGAGATCACGCAGCATGTGCAGGACTACCAGGGAACATGCCTTGCCAGCATGGATTCACGAGGGGAAGGTCCTGCTTGACCAACCTGATCTCCTTGTATGATCTAGTGACCTGTCTGGTAGACGATGAAAAGGCTGTTGATGTAGTCTACCTAGACTTCAGCAAAGCCTTTGACATTGTCTCCCACAGAATTCTCCTGCAGAAGCTGGCAGTCCAGCTTGGACAGGTACACTCTTGGCTGGATGAGGAACTGGCTGGAAGGCTGGGCCCAGAGATCAGTGGTGAATGGAGCTAAATCCAGATGGCGACCTGTCACGAATGATGTTACCCAGGGGTCGGTGCTGAAGCCTGTGCTCTTCAATATCTTTATTGATGACGTGGATGAGGGCACTGAGTGCACCCTCAGTAAGATTGCAGATGACACCACGTTGGCTGGAAGTGTCGATCTGCCTGGGGGTAGTGAGACCCTACAGAGGGAACTGACAGGCTGGATGGCTGGGATGAAGCCAGTGGGATGAGTTTCAACATGGCCAAATGCTGGGTCCTGCACTTTGACCACAACAACTCCAAGCAACCCTACAGGCTTGGGGCAGAGTGGCTGGAAAACTGTGTAGAGGAAATGGACCAGGGGTTATTGATTGATGCTCGGCTGAACATGAGCCAGCAGTGTGTCCAGGTGGCCAAGAACGCCAATGGCATCCTGGCTTGCATCAGAAACAGTGTTGCCAGCAGGAACAGGGAAGTGATTGTCCTCCTGTACTCAGCTCTGGTGAGGCTGCACCTCGAGCACTGTGTCCAGTTTTGGGCCCCTCGCTGCAAGAATGGCATTGAGGCCCTGGAGTGGGTTCAGAGAAGGGCGACAAAGCTGGTGAGGGGTCTGGAGCACAGGCCTTATGAGGAGTGGATGAAGGAGCTGGGATTGTTCAGTCTGGAGAAGAGGAGGCTCAGGGGAGACCTTATTGCACTCTATAACTACCTAAAGGGAGGTTGTAGCGAGCTGGGTGTCAGCCTCTTCTCTCGTGTGATAGGACTAGAGCGAATGGCTTCAAGCTGCGCCAGGGGAGATTTAGGCTGGACGTTAGGAAATACTGCTTCTCTGAAAGAGTGGTCAGGCACTGGAATGGGCTGCCCAAGGAGATGGGGGAGTCACTGACCCTGGAGATGTTCAAGGAACGTTTGGATTTTGTGTTGAGAGACATGGTTTAGTGAGTACTGTTGGTGATAGGTGGATGGTTGGACTGGATGATCTTGTAGATCTTTTCCAACCTTGGTGTTTCTGTGATTCTGCTTTTCAGTTTCTTTTAACTGCGAAGAGTATACTTTCTGGCTGAATTTTGCCTGAATCTAAAACCTTAAATAAACCAAGCAAGCAGACTTGTTTCCTGACTTGTTTTGTCATACCATCCATCACTTGTTTTGTCACACAGTCCATCAAAAGAAAGATCCAATGGAGAGAGAGACGATTTGTCTTCGCACAGCCAGAGAACTTGCACCTTGGCAGTGATACAGTAATTCTTTGTCTCCCATTAATTTCCACGCAGACATTATAAATTATACTCTCTCTTGTCCATCCCTCAGCTTTCATTTAAATCTTTACTCTTTATATACCATTGTACTTACTTGTATACACATACATTTGTATGCAGCTTTCATCAGTTGAAATAGGACATTGTACTATTACAGTGTAATCTATATAACAGACGGCATTTTGTAAACAACTCAGTTAACTTTACAACTCTCTTGAGAAATTAGTCATAGCTACTTTACTTTACTTTGTCTTCATTTGCTTTTAAATATAATCTATTTTGTTAGTTAAGCACTAGACATCAGACCATTTTGTATTCACTGTTATTGAGAAACACATTTGCTTGAATGTAAAAATACAGTTCAGAAAGTGCCCTGTTGTCTGTAAGCATGTATAGTTTTTAGTATATCAAAGAAGGAAGAGAGATCAGGAATGGTAGATCAGGCATCCTTGAAGTGCAGGCTGGCACTTGGAGTATATGAAGACACTTCTTGGTGGTGCCTTGTCAGTCTTTGTTTTTTTATTCATATTTAAATCAACTTCTATAGACATTATATTTAGGCATTAAGTATGAAGTGCCACAGTATATACAGTCAGTAGATATATGTAAAGGGATCCAGGCAGCCCAAGAAGTGGACTTGCCTCTCCACTGTATGTTCAGAGATGGTAGGACTGCTGTGTGGCTCAGTATTTCCATCTAGAAAATGGAGTACAAGCTTTCTATAGTTCATGGATATTACTTGGGGTTGTTTCATTTCTTGCTTTCCTTCTTACAGTGTCTGTTTCTGAAGATGAAATAGGTTCATGTGTTAGAAGTCATCCAGTACTGTTTCTGCTGTTGTGTTACAATCTTTTCTGTAGCTCAGTCTTACTCTGTTTGACAGGAGCCTTAACCATGTTGTGTAGGCTATTTGGGTGCCTTTTAATTCTTTTATAAAGGCTTTTGATGATAATTTTGCATGCACAATTGATGAGAGCTCTCATAGCAAAATGCAGAGTTTCTTACCAGAAGGGCTACAGCACTTCTCTTTTTCGAAGTGAATCTGCTGGAGGAAAGGAGGGATATAGGATATAGGAAGAGAAATATAGGAAGAGAACAGGATTTTTAGAGTTCTAGCTCAGAGAAATGTCAAGGCTACTTTAACTTAGGAATTCATTCTAAGTACTTTTATCCAGGAATGATTCAGAGCATGGAATCTTCTTCTCAGAGCAGATGCCTGACAGAAGAACAGGAGGAATATTTCATATGCTTGCAGACTGATTAGAATACTTGACTAGGAAGCAGCAAGCTTAGTAAAGTTTTCATTGGTCCAAAAAAATTGTGTCTTCCAGGAGAATGCATGTGAGACTTTACTGCAAACCTCAGATGGTGCTCATCTCCAGCTCGTATGTTGAAACTGGACTGCTGTTCAGGGGAAAAAAAAAAAAAAAAGTAAGATTTAGGAGAAGGGAGGCACTCAGCAAGTATTTTTATTTTCCATTAAGCCTTTTATAGCCACTTTATGTTTCACTCAATAACTTACTGGCAGAAACAGAAATATATGCTCAAGCAACACAGACAAAATATCTGTTGCTCTGGGCAAAAGCCCATCTCACCCATTTTTTGTAAGTTTTCTGTGTTAATGGCTTAGGGATACATTTCTGAATGAATTCTGCCTAGCCACAAGAATTGAGGTTGTTCTCAATATATTTTCAATTACATATTCACTTACACACTTACGTGTTACATCTCCACTGTGTATGGCAAGAGGCTTTAAACAGCCTAATTCAGGTACTGCAAGCATGCACAGAGCTTCATGTGGGCTGTATTACCCCATTGAGAATCTGAAAAGCCTGGTTAATTAGCTTCCTTGCTTGTCACTCACTTGTTTCCATCTATTTTCTCACTTCATCTGGTTCAGTTATAAAACTGTAATCTGTTTTTCTATGGCTGCGAAGATGATACTCATAATTTACTCCTCCATCTAGCTATCTCAGTGTATTTTTTTTAGTTTTGGATGGTTATATTCCTGCAGTTTTGCATTGAATAGTCTATAGCTTTATGAATCTGGATAGTACATTTAGTAAGTGCATGTGCAGCTTTTGAACACAGGTCTGTACATACGGATTTGTAATGCTGCACCTGGAGTAATTTGTCCCATTCTTATCTTCCCAGAATGAGAAACAACTAGGCATACTAGAAAGAGTCCAATGGAGAGATACCAAAATAAGGACCGAAGAAGCTCTTCTTATGAGGCAGTGAGAGAGCTGGGGACTGTTCAGCCTGGAGTAGAGGATTGGGAGGGTTGTATCAATGGGTGTGAATACCTGTAGGGGAGGTGCAAAGAGGACAGAGCCAGGCTCTTTTCAGTGTGGCCCCATGATAGGACATGAAGCAGTGTGCACAAACTGGAACACTGGAAGTTCTGCCTAAACATCAGGTAGCACTGCTGTACCATGTGAGTGTGCGAGTAATGGAGCACTGACACAGACTGCCCAGAGAGGCTGTGACTGTGGCTGCCAGTTTGCATACATTACCCCTCCACTGTAATCTCTCCATAAATTTTTGTTCACTAATCTATATCTGTTGAGAGTGCTGTGACATTACTGATATCAAACATAAAACAGTATTGAGCTCAGATTTTCTTCTTTGCACTGTCATCTCTTTGTCATCTAATTCAAAATAAAAGTTTCATTTAAACTATTTTCATCTCACTTTAAAGAAAACTTATTTCTCGTATTCATGTGTTGTTGTGCACTCTGAGCATCTGATGCTCTAAGTTCAAGTGTAAACTTTATAAATTTAGTCTTGTGTTTTTGAGGTAAATGCAGCAGCTGAAAGTATATTCTGGAAGAAAGATACCATGTCTCACTATGTAAATTCTCAGGAAGGCTGATGTTTATAGCTAATGCTTATAGTGGTCCAGGGTGAGATAAAATGCAGGCCAGGTTGTTGATGTTGTATTTTTACTCCTTAATCCTATAGCACTGCAAAAGACAGTGTCTTGCCAAAAGAGGATGGCAGTCACTTGGCTGCTGGTGGTGCTTCTAGGAGCCATAGCTGTCACTTTGCAGCAGTAGATCCCACCTAATTGGTGTTCAGCAGTGGATGTAGAACATGAACTGAATTTATTTTTTTGTTAAATGTCTGTCTCACAGAATAGGCAAACATTCGTTATGTTCTTATTTCATACTCAGTGAAAATGGTATAATTGCTTTGCCATTGAATGTGAAGACTTTTTAAAAGGTGAACCCTTGCTAGGAATCAGACAAAAGCAAAATACATAACTGCAGCAATCTTTCACTTCAGGTTAGGACTATATTCTGCTAATTTATTTGAATAAGTTCCCTGACAGCTATTTTTTTTTTTTTAACCTCCCTAGATATTGGCAAATGTAATCATTTTCATCTGTGGAAACTTGGCTGGAGCATACCACAAACACCTCATGGAGCTGGCACTGCAGCAGACGTATCAGGACACATGCAACTGCATCAAATCCCGAATCAAGTTAGAATTCGAGAAGCGCCAACAGGTAAGGTTACACCCATGTTTGATCTGTTCTGCTGTTTTTGTGCTATCTCCTGTTCAGTGCTCTATGATGTGGCTTGCCAATGGAAGAATGCTTACTGAAAGTTACTTCATGAAATACACAAAATCTTTTCAACAGAGTTTTGTGCAATTTGTATCTAAGAAGGCATTATAATCATTTGTGTTGTCAAATACATGTTTTCTTCTATTTGTTTTATGAAAATATTTTGTATAAGGAATGTTGAAAGTGCTATATAGATTCTGTTTTACTTGTCTTTTTATTTTTATTTTTATTTTTTTCATTGGATGAGAAGTGTTATGTACATATATGCTTTGGGAATCATTAGTTCTTCACGCCCAAGACCAGTATGGTAAAATCATTGCCAGAAAATATTACTGCAGTGTTTTTGAGACTACAATACTGATGAATCATGTGATATAGTTCCAGAGGTCAGGTGTGTTAAGAGGAGCCAGGGGAATTGCATAATGAGACTATCTGTCATTTACTGTAGCAGCTGAATAAAAGGCTTCTCTGATTGCTTTATATAGTTCTTTGTCTCTTTGCAAGTTCTTTACTGTGCCTATCATCCTGACAGATAGGTGCTTCATTTAAGAAAATTTGAAATACAAATTAGTTTATGAAGTAGTAAAGAAGATGGGTATATTGTGCTCTCAAGGTCACCAGACTAGAACTTTATCAACTGTTAAGGGTCAGAAAAGAGAGCCCTTACCAACAAACTGACCTTAACTGTCATGTCTGTCTCACAAATATCTGCAACCATTTTAAATTACTTTTAAGATTCATCAAGAACATTTTGTAAAGCAGAAAAAGTGAATGAATTGTCTATATTGTGACTTTAACAGATGTTATCTGTTCAGAGGACTAGCCTTATTCTGTGTGCATTTCGGTCATATATTGGCTGAAGATGCTGCAAGACATTAAAGGTAGTCCTTAAGAGAACACTTCACAGTAAATAAAGGCACTGATCAGATTCAAAATCTGTGTAAGGTACCATTGCACAAGAAGTTTTGTGAACATATAATTTTCTGCCTCTGCCTCCACGTGATGTGTAGAGTGAAACACTAGGCTAAATAACTGATACTGTGCAATGCACATTTTCCCATCTGTTGAGCACATGGGTCTGCGTTTCTCCAAATGAGTTCCAGTGAGACTGCTTGTAAGCAGAGTGCAGGGCAGCTAATGCCCTGAGTCTTGGGAGCAGTACCACTCTGATGGGATAGTCTTCAGAAACATGAGGATGATGTGATTGCTTCTAGACTCATGGCAACTTAGCAGAGGAAGTTTAATGCTGTCCTCTGTGCCCAGGTTCAGCTGCTGTAATCGAACACTACAACTCATAGCAGGCATCAAAGTCTCTTGTTCAGGAGAGACCTGAGCTTTAGCTTCTTGAGCAGAGTTGTAAAGATTTAGGCTTTTGTTATTGATTGTTTTCCTGTAAGTACAGGAAATGCATTGGTGTATCTGTAGGAATCAGGATAGAGTGTTACTGGACACGCTGACGATTGGTGCTCTGAAAAGGGTAAGGATGGTGCTTGCAGAAGTCAGTACTGATGGAGTAGAAGTGCTGGCTGGTGATTTGTTTAAATGTGTATTGTTTACTTGATGCTGCTAACTGTTACGAAGAGACATCACTTTGGCTTCTTAGAACTTATGAAGGTATTGTAAAAATGATTGAGAGTCTGTCAACAGAGAGAAGTAAAATATTTGGAATTCTATGCTGGATGCTTCCTCTTTGTTCTTTCTAGGAGTTGTGTATCTCTTACATGTTAGATTCCAGCAGGATAGAAAACAGAAGCAACTGTTTTTCATTGACAGACGTATCAAATGAATTAACGTATCTACACACTTTTTAAGTGGTCTATTGCAGGTCTGGATTTGGGCGTTTTCATTATTAATAGATAGGGCAATGGCTCATTAAGCTGGAGTAAATTAAGTATTCAATAAATATTAATGATTTGTTTTTTTTTTTTTTTTTTTTACCTCTGATGAACAACTAAATCATCTGATCTCCTTATATATATTTCTTCAATCTTTATTACCTCAACCTCATAATATGTATTTTAACCCATGTCACTGTTTTTCTAATAAAAAAAATCCAAGGGGTTGTAGATCTGTAGTGGAAATGCTAAGTCACATCTTGAACCAGTGATTGAGCACCTGGTGGGAAGGCAGGGCCAACACAGGGGAACTCAGCTGCAAGCAGTGAACCTAAGTGACTGGAAGGGATGGAGCCAGGATCCACCCCTTCCCAGAACTCATTTAAGGGTTGACAGTGGAGGTAAGGGTTTCTTACTGGAGATCCTTGTATGCCTGGGGCTTCTGGAGGTAAGCAGCTTATTTTCTTTACCCCTGTGCTCCTGGCTGTTGTATTTGAGCAAATCCTCATTTGCTGTAGCCTGGGACTTTGCTGCTCTGATGTCATTGCTGCACTTTCCATTTCATTACCAGATCATTGCTGTTATACTTAGATATGCCAGATACTTAAATATGTAGAGGTAAATGGGGATTCATTTGAGAAGGAGTCTCTTCTCCAGGATGATGTACTTACGTGTCTGCTTTAGTTTAGTAAACTTTAGTTTAGAAGTGATTTTTATTAAGTGATAGAAAAGATCATCCCCATTGTTAGTATTCAGGTAGCGAGTCAATGGTATTGCTGACTGCTTTTAGAGAATTGAGTCGGGTACCCTGAAATAGTAGTAGGAGTGTGTTAAAAAAACATTGACTTTGATCAAAGCCTTTATTAACCCATACAGGGTTGTAGTACGACCCTTAATTTGACGTATTGTTCACATGCAAGCACAATATTAATTTACTTTGGTGAGAAGCACCACAGGCTGCTTTCACAGAAGTGTTGAGTGTAGGATGTGCTACTAAATACTTAAGGCTCCAGATAAAATTTGCATTCACTGACCTCATGTCCTTTGTAATCGCTTTCAAAAGACAAGCAATTTATTTCAAATTCAAAACTCCATGTATTTCCACATATTTTGTTTGAGAATAGGACCGTACAGATGTAGTCTATAGCTGTTGTTTTTCAATTTTGTTTTCTTTGCCTTTGAATAACCTTTTGTGAAGACCACTTTGATTGTATCAATAGATAAGCATATCAGGATACTACTTGACAGTTACACCAAAGAACTCAAGAGAAACACAGCATTCAGTGTTATTGAGGGAGACAAATGCACAGTGGTATCTGGTGAAAAAGGAGCGTGCACATATATATATTTCAGATATAAGTTAGAAATATTGTACCCATGCTACTCTGTATTTCTGTTAAGGCACAGCTGTACTGCAATGAATGGAAAGCCATACATGATAACATCTCTCTGCAGGGCAGAGACCTCACCAGCCTGGGCTTCATCCTACAATACAAGCTGGGCATACCCAATGCTGTCAGCCAGTGTTGAGCAAGAGTCCAGAATACCAGGCAAGTTTGTAGTGATGTGGCACATTTGACGCCAAGGAAGTTGTTCCACAGATCGGTGTTAGGTCTAATAGTCGCTAGGCAGGTCTAAAGTGAAACTGGAAAGCCAACCAAGAGTCCACAGCCATTTCTTACACCATGGCTCAGGTTGGGTCTGAAGAACCATGGGTGAGCTACAATGGGTCTCCTGGGCCTGTGGATAAGTGGCGGTGACTGGAGGCCCAAGTTACACTGGTCAGGGCTGATAATCAGAGCCCTTAGGATCTTTACAATTTCGTATGATTTATTGCATAGATGTATTATCTAGGCTTGGATTGGGTTTGCCCCAATAATGGTCATTTTCCTATGTGTGCGTATATTTAGATGTTTGTGTATTGTGCCTTTTTATGAATTGAGTTTTTTGTAGGGTTTTCTGCAGGTTTTAGTTTTGGTAGTATGGTAAGATTTGTTAACTCCTGTGGCAAAAGACATTATTTCAAATGCCTACTTTGGTGCTTCTCATACAGCTTTTCTATCTTTTCAGTGTATATAAAAGCATTGTGAAACTATTCCTATTCTGACCTTAGATTTACAGCCTTATTTCAAGATATATATTTAAAATAGTCTCTCATAACATTGTTTGTCTCACTGATGCAGCCTGGCTGACAGTTTGTAGGGGTAATGACTCACTAGCACTGAGTGCAAGATTTTAACTCTGGCAGGTAGTTAATGTAATTGCTCTTTTCTCTACCTTCTAGTGCTTTGCATTATGAAACACAGACGAAGAAATTCTTACAACAGCAGAGAGATGTTTCTAAGGTGTTGGTGTTCAGTGTGTTCCCTAAAACTCTGTCTTTACAAAGGAGGCCGCTGCATGATGGTTTTAGAAACAGCACTCAAGTAGCAGATGAAAATGAATGAGATTTTAAAACATTGAATGGCATTTTAATTTTTTCACTGAAACATGGTGAAGCAATACCATTCATTACAAGCACTGCAATACTTCAAAACTGTCTTAAAATGAATCTAAATGAGAGAGACGTCATACATTTCTCAGACCTGAGGCTGTTAGTGAAGAAGTATTTTAAGTACATTATTTGGAGCTAATATATAAAATGTGGGTTCCTGGATGTTCAGTGAATGCATTTTAAAATGTAAGCTATTAATATTGTTGTGAACATAGAATAGGTCTTCTGAGGGCTTCCTTGTTTTTGGTTTTCCCCTCTTTGTGCATCTTCAAGGTTAGTAAGCAGGCCTGTTTGTACGCATACACACAGATGAGGTGCTAGTCCTTTCTTTTAATCTATGTATCATTACCAGAATTAAAAGCTGTTGTGAGGAATTCCTGTGCCAATTCCTGTGAGGCAAGCCACGTGGAAGATGGCTACAGTATTCAGGATTAATGGATAGGCTATGGGATTAATTAGGGAGCTGGAGACTATGATGGATAATGAGAACCTCAGAGGAGCTGGGAATGCTTGTCTACAGAAGGCTTGGTGAGGACCTAGCAGCAGCCTTCTGCCTGAAAGTTGTTTATGCAGAAGATGTGGTCAGTTTATTCTCGGGAACAGAGAGTGAA